AAAAATATATATAATATTGGTATTAAAGAATATTTGTTACTAAAATACCCAATAAGTAGATTTATTATATTTACTCTTGTATTTTCAAATTCTTAACTTTTGTTCCAGCAAATATTTGAGATAACTTCAGCTTCAAATATTTAACTTTAAGTTTTTTAAAGGGCAGAAAAGTTGTCCTAACCGAAAACTTCAGCTGGCCAAGTAATGTTCGCTAAGCAATATCACCTAAAAATTTGTAAATTATTTAGGTAACAAAAAACTGGTGATACATGCCCGCGAGGTGGGGCTGACAGATCGAGAAGACATGCAGGAAATACCAAGAGTAGGGTACCAGCGAAACAATGGGGCATCTCTTGTGCATTTATCACGCCTTGGCAAGACTACAGGACTGCAGGAGGTATCGATAGAGAGGCCACAGAGTCTATTAAAATTCGCGTTAAGCATCCTGAACTTCATCTGCTATCGCAAAGGACTAAACCGGTGTATGTGTTGCTTATTGGCCTATCAGAATAACCTAACCTAACCTAGGTAACAAAAACAGCATTTTGTGCCGTTACTCATAAGATTGTCAAGTTTAAGTTGTTGGATATTTCAGGAATGGAAAAAATTGGTAGGCAGAGCATGTCTATGAAGTCTATATCAGTATTTATATCTAAATTTTATTTGTTCAATATACATAATTGTGGGCATAATTCTATATTTTTGTGGTGTTATGAATGTCGTTGTAAAATTTTTATTGAGAGCAAATTAACGTTGAACGCTGCAACACAGTGTTCGAGTAAGTTTTCTATTATTAAATTATTTCTTCGAAATCATCTCATATATATTTTAACAATAGAGGACTGCATATATGAAATTATTGCAATAAAGGAAGCAAATGTTCATTACTGAAATTTTTTAGAAATTAACAATTACGATACAATTCAAAACTTCTGCTAAATTAAGTAAATTTCAAAGTAAAAGATAACCTAAGAGATTGGTAGCAAAGAGAGAAATTAAACGGCAAGGGCGCGCGACATTTTCCAAGCAACACGCAGCTTCATAAAGATCTTTGGCTTTGTTCACTAACATTGCTTTGCATTAGCGTGGCTGAGCTATCACAGCGCCTTTAGCTACTCCAAGCTTTAATAACTAGCACTAGCGCTAATGATGCACAATATTAGCATCGTTTATTGCGCTCCAAGATGAAGCTAAACATTCCACACATCTTATGCTATGGGAATGGTATTGAGGAATTGCTGAGATGGCGGCGAGGCAGTCAAGTAGCCTAGTAACCGAGAAAGAAAACCGATACAATGAAGAAACAGTAACATATAGTTATTTAGTAGCGAACCATGAAATTCATTGTTCAATTATGTAATAATCGAAACTTTCACTTGCATCACCAACGGTGGCGAGCAGCGAACGCCAAGCGGTGCGGTGCCAAGCGTCAACACTATCGTCATTGCCGTCATCAGCTACAACTCCAGCACTATTGTTTTCAACGTACAACAACAAAGGCAATGCTTTACTTTTTTTTTTGTATTTTTGATTTTTATTTCACGCTGGTTTTTGTATTGAGTTGTTCAATCTGCTCAATGCATTAGGAGGCGTTGCGGCTTTGCGTTGTGCGCTGCCGTGATTTTGTAGTTTGTTTTTGTTTCTTCGTTTTTATTGTTCGATGTTGGCAATTATACTGTGGTTTGGGTTATTTCCTTCAACTTGCATATCTCAGGTGTACTTGGTCAATATTTTTGCTTTTGGTGCGTGAAGGAGCTTCGCTGACTGGTTTATTTATGAAGTTTGCCCGATGTCATTGTGTTTTTAGTTAGTAAAAGATATTTATTTCTAATGATTCATTTTACTGAAAATATTTAACTGCATATTTCTATTCTAATTTATTCAAATTTGTCTTAAAATAGTTTAAAAAAAATTAAATTAAATTAATGCAATTTTTTATGATTGCTAAACCCCAAAATTCGAACTTTTTTGAAAGGAGTCAATTATTATTAACTAAAAAAAATTAAAAATTTATTAAAAAAAAAAATTAATTA